AAACATCAACATTGTAACTGAGAAAAACTTAAATGCTAAATTTCAAATGTTTACAATCCATCACTTAATTCATGGCAAACCAATTTTAACATCATGCAATAACACTAAGACGACATTAGTTGCATTGAACTGATCTTTTTAATAAGTTGTACTTACAATGTAGTGAGAAACATGGGCTTGTGCTTCACTGAGGATCTTTGTCATTCTGACAGGGAGGCAAACTGCAGTTATTACACTTCGCATTTTGAAATATGTGTAACTCTGTTAATATAAAACCCACACTGCTTAAACTTTGTTACTTTTCCTAAAATTCGTATATTTATTTATTTATTTTGGGGCGTGGGGAATGAAGAGAAAAAAGTATATGAGCATTTTATGAGCATGGGATTTTGACCCCTCATATAAACATATGCATAATGCTGCGCTATACTTTACGGCCACACGTCGTTGCCAAGCAACGCTTATTGTTTAGGTCCATTGATAAGCAGGCAGTCATATAATTAACTAGAACTAGCTAGATCTGATAGATTTGGACATAAATGCGAGTGAAGTATAACCGGACGCAAGAGAGAGAGAAAGAGTTAGACCTAACAAACTTACTGTAGCTAGTTCATCTACTCTGGAACTAGCTAAACTAGTTATAAATATATTTATTCTTTACTGTCGGGTCACTTATTACAGGTTCAGCGAGCTGCACGAGACTGACGGGCTGTCAGGAGAGGGAGAGGAAAAGAGAGCACCCCGTTTATTTTTCCCATTTTATTATCCAGAATTACTGTAAACCTTTGAAAAGTAGTTCATCTACTATTAGTAGTTTGTTTAAATGCATTAATTATGTTTTTTTTTCATTAACATAAAATAAATCTCACGTACCCCCTGGCCTGCAAATTCAATTGAATGAGGGAATCGTATAATATTCACCGCTGAAATGTGGTGAAGTCAAAATATAAAGTAGCAGGAGATAAGTAATAAAAACAATTGTTTTACCAAGGTACGTGTACAGTCCTTGAGTGAGTGGAGTTACATACCAGCAGTGCTGTCTGGTTCTGTAACAGCAGCTGACTAACGCTGCCTGCTGTGTCACTGAAGCCGCTGTGTGTCCAGGGGTTAGAGACACCTCATGTGTTCCTCTCCTATCCCAGATAGCTATATCCATGGCAACCGAAGAGAACGGTTCTGATGTCCACATGGCAACGGCTGCCGTAGGGACTGAGGATGGAGGAGGAGGATGTGGGGGAGGGGAGCAGGGGGGTTTCTGGATGCTGACGCACTCGGTGGCTGCCTGGAAAGTTTTTGAGAATGCCGCCCACTGACAAATCAGAAGTGGGCTTACATCTCTCTCTCTCTCTAACTCTTTTTAAACGGCACCTCCTACTCAGTCAAGAGTCCACCTGACCCCCCTGCACCCTCCCCCTCCCATCATGCACCTCCTCCGTGTTTGTGTCTCATCAAACCTTTGTCTCTGTCTGCATCGCTGTGGCAGCTGTGATCATGTTTGATTCGCTGTTTTGAGGGATTTGTGCGTGGGCAGGCCGACCGGGAGATCTCTCTCCTCGGGCGTCCAGGAAGGATCCGTCCGGCTCCGACACTTCTCCTACCTGAAGATTATGGGCAGTGTGATGAGAGCCAATGTGAATACAATGTGGAGACAAGGGACTGTGACAGTGTCCGCACAAGTGCAATAGCAGCATATGTGGAAAGGTTACGCCAGATTTAGATTATTTCCAAAAATCTGTCAGTAATCCATGCTTGTATTTGATTTGGTTATTATGTGTTGTATATTTAAATCCATGGCTACTCCTTTTGAATTCCGGTCCAGCCTTCTTTTTTTGTTATTTAAAGTATTTTCATCCAAGGTCGTAGTTCAGTTTCCTTTGGGTTAAAGGTTTGATTGGTGGATGGCCATCATGCACATTTAAAATTGACATAACTTTATTTCCAGTAACAATGTTTACATTCTTTAAATTCACTTTGTAATTCGGAAAGCTTTGCCTTGTCTCAATATTGAATAGGAGACTTTATGCTGCATTTGCATTTATTTATTTACTGTAGCCTAATGGAGAGTGATAATCAGGGCAAGCTGAAACTAGAACTAGTGTCTTACTGACAGGGGATCATCATTCTAAACAACCTGACTGTCATAGAGAGAGGGGGGAGACATGATAATTGTTTTAACATGGAGATAACACCACACATTTTCAACAATCTTTTCTTAAAGGTTTTCTGTTAGAATTGGTTGTACACACCAAAAACCCTGCACTTACCAACACACTCCAACAGCTGTGTTAGGTGGACATGATTGGCAGTTTTAGAGAGTTACAGAAGTTTCCAAATGTGTGTTTAGGTGAGTGTGGTTATCTTGTACCACCCTGGCGTCATTTGCACATCATTTAATAAAGGTAAACACATTGGACGGGTCTGCATAATGAGGCGATATTCCTTTGAGTGTCAGGACCAGGGACAGCGACCATCTGTTACTATAATTCTGCTGATTAAAAAGCATTCTCACATTATTGGGATCTCATTCTCAACATGTATTACAGGTTAAGTGGCCTTTGGTGTATCTTGACTAGAAGGTTTGCACCTTATAACAAGAACGTCAGCTAGTATCATGTCGCAGAAAGGTTTAGGCAACAAAATCACAAAAACATTGATCATACCCTTAACCAGGCCAGATATTTCCATCTTGGAAAAGAGAACAAAAGGGTTTATGTTCCTTCTTCCTGTCTGATAACCAGGAGCCAAAGGCTGTGCTTTAGTATCACTACCATAATAAAAACCTTCTCACCCGCATAACAAACTTTTTTTACCAGCCAATACCTAAATACTGGAATGCTTCCACATTGTGCCGGGCTCTGCCTCAGCTGGAGCGGCTCCAAAGCCCTGCACATACACATGACCCTCAGCCCAGAGAAAGGAAAGGTTCTTTTTTTTAAAGCATGACTAAAGAGCAAAACAGCAGCGACGTCATGGAGCCAGGAGAAACCTTACCTCGTGGTTGTGTGTTTGTGAAAATGGGCTTGAAGCTGACCGGATAAACCCCGGGTCCCTCAGGAGTGGACCCGAAGCCTCTATAAATCTACATCCACCCACCACCCTCCCCTTTTTCTTTTCTCCACAACAACCCCCTTCTATATACTGCACTCCACTCTTGAGTGCTTCTCTTTCTCTCCAGGCTTGATGGTAATGAAGTGCTTTATGGCTGCAGAGGACGTGAGGGGACGCAGGGGGCACGGGGTTAGCACATACCGTAGCTCATATGGGGGGCACAGTGGCCAGCGATGACGGGGCTGATTGAGTAAATCTTGAAAAGCACACATCCTCCTCTTGAACACAAGCTCATACACATAGCCTGATCCAACACGAGGGTCCAATAGGGCTTGGTGATCTCAGCAGGAGATCTCAGACAACCTCCACCTTCAATGGCGGCTCTATAAATGATTACCACATCAGTCGGGCTGAGCATGCAACACTCACCATCTGGGTTTCAGCAAAATCCTTAAACCTTGATCTCAACGAGGGTGTCGAGTTTGGAGGGGTTTCATTTTTCATTTGTTGTGTTTGGCTTAATTATCTGAAGCCCTTCGAGACTCTAACAGTGATTAAAGGCTACACAAATAGGCTTGACTCACCGCCCTCAAAGTCAGGGAAAACGTGTTTCCACCTTGTTAGTTAATTCTTCATGTCATATTGTTTATCTTTAGAGAATTAAATGCCGAAAAATTCACAAAACCTTTGCCTTCTTGCATATTAATATTCAAAACTCACAGTATTACCTTCCTACTTAGCTGCAATCTACTTTTTCCTCTCAGGCCAACATAAAAAGCCAGTTTTTATTCCAAAATGTATGATCAGTATGCTTTCACCACCATTTCCAATGAAGCGTCATACAATGGTTGGTTGTTCTCTCCACCCCTTTGGTCCAAAGTGAAATATTTGGTATTTCTAAACTACTATCTGACAAATTGTTATTAACTTTTTGTACAGATGATCCTTAGAGGATGAATCCTACTGACTTTTGGGAAAGTGTGACTTTTTCTCTGGCACTGCCATGATGAGGCATGATGTTTGCGCTTTTTAGGGAAATGTCTTAATATCCTTGGTAGGGCTGCTCGATTATGGCAAAAATCATAATCTCGATTATTTGGGTCAATAATTGTAATTGCGATTATTAAATGCAATTATTCATTGACTTTGAAAACATCCATTTATTGGAGAAAAATAAATTGAACATTATGTTTTTAACAGTTGATTACCCTGAACTTTAAGTATAATTCAACTGAAAAACCAACAACAACAACAATTATAAAAAAAAATAATAATAATAATAATAAAAAAATTATCGTTTTATTTCGATTACGTTGTTTTCGTAATCGTTGCAAGCCACAATCGTAATCGCGATTAAAATACGATTAATTGAGCAGCCCTAATCCTTAGATATATTGAGAGACCCTTACAAATCATTTGGGATCTTTAAATCACTTTTGAATGTTGCTACCTTGCCCTTTTGTCCAGTTTAATTCAGGTACATTTGAAACTGAAAAAAAGCAAGTCACAGTTTGCTTGTGATTTTAGACACCTGATGCCTTCTTAGTAATCCAGTGCTGAAAGTGTTGCTCAGTGAATACAGGTGTTTCTCTTTATGTGATAAGTGTTTTGACCCACTACACACCTGAGCCTCCGGCAACACCTTTCCATTCAGCAGCCGTCCCCCTGCCAAAGCTCGTAATGGCCAGACAGCTCTCTCCACGCCTCGGCCCTGCGCTCACACTCACGTGGGGAGGTCTCTGAAATGAAAATGCCATTATAAAACATTTACCAGCCTGCTGAGTTTACATGTCTTACAAGAAAAGGACCGTTTGGAGCGGTTAAGTGTCACATCAATCTTTCAGCACGCTAATTGAAGTGGTTCCCCCAATAGGCCACTCTCCACAGCTGCTATTACAAATCTGCGGATGGGACGGCCAGCTGCAAACAAAATCTTACACCCACTTGATAACGTTGTTAAGACACACACATGGTGCTCTGTGGGTTGCTACTGCTGCTGCTAGTTTGCTCAGACAGCTCCACTGGCAGAGTGCAACGTAGTCGTATGTAAACACAAGTCATCTTTCAGTGAAATATGCTCTGAAAGGCGGCACACAGGCGTTCTCCCCTCCTGGAAATACAACTTATTTAGAGCTTATTTAAGCAGGCATGTTGAACATATTGTTATTTCCAGCAGCAGCCTGGGGGAGTAGTTGCAGGAGGTGGCGGGGTTACACCTACAGTATGCAACAGCTCAAATCTGAAAGCTGGCGTGCTACAGCTAGCTGCCGAGCATCTCCACTAAAGCTTCTGAGGATTACTTTGAGCTTTATGCTACCGCGTTAGTTAACAGAGATCAACCTTCCAGCTGATTGGAACGGGCCCAATTCTCTAATCTCCAGTCCGCTGCTGAAAGAGGAGCTTTACATCATATATCTGAGTTCAAAACTATGCAGGTCCGTTAAACTCTGGAGGGCTTTTTCATGGCTCAGCAATTACTGAGGCCTGAACTGTGACACTCAAACTTGAAGTATTCCCCCTTCCACACCATACCCTCTCTGTCCTTCAAAAGCTTTCTGTTCCCTGCCCTACCTCTATGTATCCTACCGGCACAGGCACAACCTGACGTTTTTGAATTTGGCTTTGACCTCGACTTCTACAACTTCTACAGTAGATCTTTATGGATTGGTAATGCTGGCCTGATATAAGAAGACATTTGGTCATATTTTAAGGTCAAATTAGCCCTCTGATCGACAAGTGTGACCCAAATGGTCATGCAGTCTGAGGGGTTAAGAAACAAAGTTACAGCGATGGAAATTTGACAAGAAACCGGCAACAACAAATGGTTGGGAAGCGTACTTATTCCCAAGCCATGATGAAAGTAGAACAACTGGATACGCTTGTGGAATTATGGCAACATCAGGAGTGCTTGTTTAATGTCTTTTGCAATACGTCAATAAGTCTTATTATGACATTACATGTTATTTATTAGACGCTTTTATCCAAAGCGACTTACTGTGGGCAATCCCCACAGGAGCAATTTGGGGTGAAGTGTCTTGCCCAGGGACACAACGACATGCTGACTGCAGTGGGGTTTGAACCTGTGCTACCTTGATCCGAACACCAACGCTCTATCCACACACCATTTAGAGATCCCAAGTCCCTAAAATTGCCACTATTTTTTTCCTGCAACTTGACTCAATCTTCTGATGTTTGCGTTCTTACGATCAAGATATAGAAAAATCATGGACTGGTTTCCCACCCTTTGAAATCTGTTCCAAATCCTTTTAACCCCTTTTTCAATATCCTCGAGTGTTCACCAAATAAGGAGATTGTAACTCTGTGAAATTCATACATGCAACTAAAATGCACATTTCCATTAAATATTTTGCCCCATTTGGATGGAAACTGTGGAAATGACATTGAGACAATCAAAACAAACATCTGTCCACGTACGTCCTGAGCTGAGTCTCTGAACAGATGGCGGCGGCTGCATAACCGCGGGTAGCTGCGACACAAAAACTGTACGCAGGTGTGAGAGCGGATCGAGGCCGCTTTGATGGCCCTTTTTTCCAGGTGACACTCTCTCTAATGTCTGAGTGGTCAACACCAGGGGGTCCCCCCTCTTTCCGCTGTTTGTGGGCCGTTCACAAAGTAATAACCGCACCCTGCTGTGCCCATCATGCCTCACTGCCAAAACCTCCTCGTCAACACCTGGCACCATGGTAACCAACACCTGTTCACCTAATTAGAGGGACACTGGAGGGAGAGGCGATGAAGAAGTTAATGAAACGCTAATCTGGTCCAATCAAACGCCCAGGCATCTGCCTTCTCAAAGCAGCAGCAGGTCGCCGTAATGGACGCCTTATGGGCGCCTCCCCCGCCACGCCACCTTGATTGACCTCATCAATGCCAAAACTATACTGAGAGGCTGCAAATAGTAGAGGGCAGACAGGGGGAATTGGGAGAGAAAGGGAAGTCGGCATGCAGCTTCCTGGATGGACAAAGTAGCCGGACGGCGAGGTGTCAGCCAAATGAACGAGCATTAAGAGACAAGGTTTCCGTGCACAGCAGTTGGAGCGGCTCCAGGTCGCACCAGCTGCGCTGCTCTTGTTTACAAGCCGCCACCTGCTGCCGGGTGCTCAGGTCTGCTTTCTGAAGAGTCACTATGAGAACCATAACCAGACAAAAAGAGTCCTCTATGAAAACAGTTTTGACACTATCTTTGATGACAATTAAAGAAAAACAAAAGTATGGAAGCCCAGTAGAGACAAAAATAAGACTAAAACACATCCTATATAAGTCATTATTATAATAAACTTTCTCAAAATAATGACTTAGCATTTTAAACACACAACATAGTATCTCAAAATAGCATGATGATGTCATTCTTTTGAGAAATGATGTTATTATTTTGAGATACTAGATATTTCGAGAACGTTTTTCAAATGTTCATCACATCAGAGGAATTGTGCTTTGGAAAAAATGTTTTGTGAGATACTAAAAGGTTTTGCATCTTGGCTGTTTGTCTAGTAGTTCATGTCTTCTTGTATGAACTCAACTGAACTGTGTTTCTGTTTCTCTCCACAGGAAACTTAAAAGGGATGTGTAAACAGATAGACCACTTTCCTGAGGAAACAGATTACCAAGCGGACACATCCGAGTACTTCTTACGTGAGTATTTTTGAGTATTCCCTATTTTCACACGCAGAAACCCTGTTCACAAATTAGATTGACAGTATTTTTCTGTTCAAGTGTTTAAACATTACAATAAATCACTCCACGCTTTTCACCCCAATGCAAGATATTTTGAATATTTTTTTAAATCTGTCCCACTTTCCTTTGCTCTGTCTCAGACTGCAGCACAGTGCTAGTAGAACTGCCTTTGGCCCGTGTGTCATGGCTGTCTCTGCTTTCTCCAAGCAGCTCGTCTGTTTTTACTGCTTGGCTGTGTGTAACATAACGTGCAGTGTTACAGTCGGCTGTGTACCCTGTAAACACAGCCCATTGATTTCTGCTCTCTTTCCCTTTGTGCAAGCAAGACAGAGATGCTTGTCGAGCTCATTTGCCTGCTAATCCTAAAAATCACAACAATGACTCTGAGCTTGTGATGTACTGTACACTATCGTTTGCTCATTACTCTCTTCTGATTGGCCAGTTAATGTGATGGAGACATTTAGACACAGTGTAGCAACGACACGTTTCTATGGTTATAGCTCTGTTCCAGCAATGTGTATCTTTCAGTAATACAGATAATAATCAGGTACAAATACTTAAAATTGAGATTTATGTATTTGAAATAAACTTTTTTTGGGATAATTACTGAAATTCTTCCGTTTTGCTGTCCTCTTTGTTGTGAGGACATGTTTTGGCAATCAGCTTTGATAGCGAAACTTTTTGGAGAGCATTAGTCCACATTTGTTGGTGGATCATATCAATATTTCTACGTTTATATGGACACATTTAAGATTGTAATATTTCTTCTAAATAGCGTATTCCAGTCATCACTCAAAGTCCCAGTATAATAAGTTGTTTAATCGGTTAACATTAATTGAGTAAAGATGATGTATGTTTGTTTATTAACTGGCCCTTTGCCCTCTGTCATTTTGCAAAAATTACCCTGGGGAAGAGCAAGTATGCCGTCACTAAAGGCTTTATACTTTTTTTTTTTTTAGAACTTGCCAACACCTAAAATCTCAACTTGATGTATACAATTGGTGAAGTAAATGGATTTCTTTATTAAATGTGATTATTTGCCACATTAGTTGCCAACTCCTTGCTGACCCCTGATGTGGGACACCCCTCCTCCTCATCCTCCTTCTCTGTTCCTCCCGCACCCTGCTCTAGCCTGCAGTGGTTTTAAACTAGAAGTCAAAAAGTGTCCGTCTCCTCGTCTCCATCAGCAGGGACAGTAATTGAGGCCTCTCAGAGAGCAGAGCAGTGCGTGACAGTGCTGGAGATTAAGCCCAGCCAATTAGGCTGTGTTTGACTTAGCGCTCTGAGCGGTTGTTCCCGTCCATATGTGCCAGAGAGGACGGTTATGATAACAGCTCTGGTAATGATTCTAACAATGCCAGAGCACTGGCTAAGGCAGATCTGTCTTTATAAAGAGGTGTCTCTCAGCTGGGGATGACAAGGTCGTGGGGCAGAGGCCTCACTCGGGCCTGGGACCACAGACGCTCGTTTGCATGCGTGTGTGTGAGTGTTAACCTCTTCACAGGCTGTGATTGGAGGAGAAGGCCGCAGTGCTCCCAGTGGCTTGCCAATTAGGACACTCACATCCATAAATATTTCAGCCTCCTTCTTATATAGGTCAGGCCTCTCTCGATCGCTGTCTCTCACACTCTGCCTCTCTTCACCCTCACACCCGGAATATTACATGACAGGAGTCATTTAGTTCCTGTTGTCCTCTCTCTGGATTGAAAGGGAGACTTGGCGATTCAGAGCGTTTTCAAAAAGGGTGCATAAAGATGTCACACAGGACATCTTGGTTGGTTCTGGATGTATTCTTTTATATCTGCCAATTTCCCTTTCGTGGACACAAACCTGGTATTTCCATAATGAGGAGTTTCACGGCGCCTCTGGGTGGCCAAAGACAGAAAAAAGCTGCCTCTGCTTTCACATGCAGAATTGGGAGAGCGGGGGATAGTTATGCAACAGAAATTATGTCATTTCAGGTGAAGGGCCCAGCGGAAGTGACGTCAATGGGGAACTCGCCGGTCAAAAAAATTGAGGGGACACACTGGTGATGTCATAATACAGCGTAGAGAAGGGGAGGGACATATTTGGTGCCGAGTGGAAATCACACAAATATTCTGTTAAACATGCCCCCCCTGCTTCATCAAACACACACTCTGATCTGCTGTCCTTATGCTAACACACACACACACATCCACCACATATCTGTGTGTGTGTGTGTGTGTGTGTGTGTGTGTGTGTGTGTGTGTGTGTGTGTGTGTGTGTGTGTGTGTGTGTGTGTGTGTGTGTGTGTGTGTGTTCCATGAGCTCTCCCAATAGCAAGGCAGTTTGCACATCCACACGGGGTTATATAAGCCAGCTGAGGCACACTAAAGCGCCAGTGGGTTTTTAGATCATGCCGTGTCGGAGCTCCCATCCTCCACTGCTCTACTGGGTGCTAAGCAGCTGAGAGAGAAGAAAGAGGGAAAGAAAACGCCCTGTTACGCAAGCTACTAATGCTGAATGGAAAGACATCAATTCACTGTAATACAGAGAAGGAAATCATGTGAGGGGAGTAAGACGAGTTTGATGTGTCTGATCTACCATGGAGGCATTGGAGTCAACAGTTTTGCTAATTTATTATCTTCCAAAAATGTTTGTATGAAAATGCGGTGGCCTTTTTTGTAGATTTCATAGACCAAACAATAACTTATGACTATAAATATGACTAAATATGCCTGATGTGATTAATCAAGTGTCCATATACATGACAATCATTTATCAGTAAATTGTCTAAGCCGTAAACAAAAAAATTGTGTGCAGCTTTCTTCCATAGTTTCACTGCTGAGTTATTCGATGCAACCTGTATTTATTTAGGCTGGTGTGGGGTTTCTTTCATCTGGCCGCAAAATGTTCTGCTGCTTCAGGCTGTGTGGTGTCGCATCACAAACCACAGTTTTGTTGTTGATGTTGTTCACCCAGGCCTTTGGAAATAATCCCCTGACCCTTCAGCGTGTCCAATGTCAATACTAATACCCTTAAATATGCACGTTATAACGATGCAGTATTGGGGCCATTTTTACCCCCTGAATTAGCTATCTTATAAACCTTACTGGGTGTTTTGGCCCCTGAGCCTGCATTCATTTCTGCCTCTGGTGTTTGCATGCGTTCATCAGAGAGTACTGGCTGACATTGCTGACAAAAGGGCAGGCCTGTCACAGCCTGTGTCACCCCGAGGCCTCGCGGCAGACTGGACGCTGGACTGAACTGGCTTTGATGTCGCCCAATAAAATCAATGGGTCTAGCGCAGGACACGCAGGGCTATTGTATTGTAGGGCAGCGCAGGGGGTGGCAGTGACCCCACTGCATGGTCTCTAATACCAGTTTGTATACTTGAGTATGTGTGGCTTACCAGAGGGCTTTAAAAGTATCATTTTTTGGAAGTGGGGTTGTTTGAGTTTCTTACCCATAGTCAGTGTATAACCATACATAAAGTTGATAGCAGTTGTCACGTCCACAGTTTGGAGAAGCAGACAGGAGTTACGGCACTTAGCATTGTACTGCTGTGAACAGGGGCAGAAGGAAAGTGTATTATAGCCAAAGCAATGATCTATGCTCTCTTCAAAGCCACCAGACACCATTGACAAATACAGAAAACAGAACATGGGTGTTGCTGTTCTACTGCTGCCTCAATCAGTTCCTTTTTTAGTTTGTCATACACTATTGTGTGATTTTAAACAATAACACAAACTAGCAAACAGTTCTCTGTTGCATGATTCAACTACCGTGTTCTGCTGGGTAAATTAAAACTATTAATTCCAAGGAAGACTCTGATAGATCTGCTAGTAGTGATTTTGGTGATAGCAGATAAAAAGCCAGATAGCGACTTCAAAGGGGGATGTCTGGCAGTAAAATAAAGAGATGGAATATTCCAAATATACCATACAAATAAACTGAAATTACATGTTTTCGGTGGCAAGAATACATTTGGCTGCTGCCCCCGTCCATAGCAGTACTTAGCTTCGATTTGGTGCTGACATTCCTTTC